TCCTACTATCTTCGACATGTAATTGCTTTTTAATTTATCTAAAACTTTTGTTCATCTTCATTACTGAAGGATGTGGTATCGCTCCCTGAACTTGAGAGTCATTGACGTCACTGGATTTTTAAGAGCAAAACTGTGTGTTGAGATCATTCATGGATCTAGAGAAGGTGGTTCAGCATCTTGCTACTCAGTGTGTTCCACCCAGCTCATCAATATCATCTGGAAACTTGTTTGAAGGGGAGAATTTTGGGACCCACCGCATACCTAGCGAATCAGAATATGCAGTTGAGCACACCCCCTCACCCAGAAATTCAATTGCACATTAATGCCATCCAGGATATCTGCGTGTTTAGTACTTGTTCAGCAGAGTGCAAAGAAAGGGGTAGGTGGGCCAATGGTACGTAGGGGAAAGTCACGTTGTCCTTAAGGAATAAGGGAGAGACCAACATGTATGTAATTATGATACCATATCAGTGCCAGGAGAGATGCATTCCCAGCCTGCAAGAAAGCATGGCATATTCATGGAAGGCAAAGTAGCTGGAATGGCAGAAGCTTCAAGTAGGCAAATAACCCTGTATATCCAGTTAAAGACCTGGGCTTCAATAAGTGAGCAATTCAGGGACTTTAAAGGATTTTAACGAAAGCAGTCACATGATCACAGATACATTTCAGAAAGATCATTACTCAGGCAAAATGTAAGAAAAATCAATTATTTGGAAAGGGGGCAAACCAAGACTGGAGACAAGGGGATGAGTCAGTAGCAGTTTAAGCAGGAGTTGCCAAGGCATTTTTTCATCTCACATCCTGAATCTCCCCTCTGTCCCTCTCACAAAGTTTGGGAAGGAGGATAGAGGGGTAAGGTAATGGTGGCAGAGAAGAGATAAAGAAGGCCTACTTCTACGTTACAGGGAAAATGGAATTAGTATTGATGGGCATATATAAATATAAAACAGTAAAAACTCAATATACTTTTCTGTTTTATAAAATGCAGAAAATACTATTTTGGTGATTCAGGATTCTACAGTTCCTTCCATCATTTTAAATATCAATTATTAACATAAAGTACTATATTTACAGACACAAGATGTGTACATGGTTACATGGTTAAATATCAATGGATCCCAGAATATATCTTGAACATGCTTTTGACACTTGTATAAGTCACTGATATTGGCCTTTCTCCCCCATATGAGTTATTTATCTCTCTTGTAACTCAGGTTTAGAAAAGTTGCGGTGAAGGCGAGACAAGAGGGACATTTATTAATGTTTACGTCTAATTTGTTTTAGGAATAAATAAATAACTGGGCCAACAAATTGCTTCAGGTGTGTACCTATATAAAAAGGTAGTATATGCTATACTTTTAAGTAGTATCATTTCTAATACACTTAGAATATTGAAAAAGTCCCTATTTTAAGTAAGGAGGAAAGAATATTTGATATTTACTTGTTAGTGATAAACTAAGGATTACGTTTAAAGTGAAAAGAGCCAGCAAGTCAAGGCAATCTCCAACTTTAAACTGGAGCTGGTTTAAAAAATGTATTTATCCAATGGCTGTTTGGAGCTTACCATATTTCCTACCTCCAAAATCATACGTGGTGGGTATGTAGGCTAGGCACACCATAAAAGCCTATTTAATAGAGTCTCAGTTGTACAAAGGCCTCAGAGGTTATTTGGTCCAATGTCGCACCCAAGGAAGAGATTCTTCCCACACTAGCCTTCGCAAATAACACTAAAACACTTCCAGGAATCAGGAGCCCATGCCCCTTCCAAACAGCACTGTCTCGCATGAGGCACCTCTATTTGTTAGACAGTTCTTCTTTCTTCTGAAACATAATCTGCATCTTTGAGCGCCCCTATAGATCAAAGGATGAATCATGTATCACTATTTCAACACTCCCAACCCCCAAGAAATCCTGACCACTGGTGGTCTGATTTAGGAAGGAAAGGGGATAATTTGCCTCTCTCCAGTCCAGAGGAACCCATCCCTGAAAATGGCTGTATGTGAAGAATGATCTTGTGTCAAGAGCTATGAATCATCAGATTTAATAAAATTATAAATGTTGAAAAATACAATGTCTCCTGAGAGGAAAACGGCTAGTGTTCCAGCAGAACACCCAGAAAATCCTTAATCAACATTTCCAATAACAGAAATACAAGCTATTAACCGCAACCAAAGTCCCTTCCAAAATTAAAAACAAATTCTTCTGATTCATCTACTGAATCATCTTGTCTGTTTGTGAAATAAATTGTATTTAGCATATCAGAGAATTTCAACAATACAAACAGAAATTCTGAATGTATAGGCATAACCTGACTGCAACTGTTATTAGGTTAGTGGCCAAAACTGTTCTTCCTGATATGAGTGCTTGGTCCTGGTCTTCAAAATCCTCCTGCAGTAAAGCATCCTAGCTCCACTTTCTTCCTTTTATGGTGGACTCTTTTTTTCTTCAGAAAAGCATTGCACTGTTTCATTTTAAACTCAAAGAACATTACACTAATGCTGGGCTGGTGGTCACTTCTATACAACCTTAAGTTGAATTATGGCATTTAATCCTAAGCATGAAGGATATAAGCTACCTTAGATGGTCCTTTTCACCTATTTTGAGGCTCCCTCCGAAAAACACACACATAAAGATTAATACGGTTTTCAAAGTATTTAGTTTATGGAATTGTAACTGAAGGTAATTATACCTTCAAGTAATGAATAAACCCCGTTCTGTGAATAAAAATGAGGTCATGGTTAAGTTTTCCTAAGACAGCCATTGGGATCTGATTTTCTAGTTATGTAGGAAGAAGTGTTATTTCCTTCTTCCCCCAATGACTGTGTATCATTGTGCCAATAAAATGAACTACTATAAATTTCAAACTGCACAAAAGACTCTACAACAATTTAAAAAGCATGAATGACTACTGTATACATGAATAAATGTTATTCAATAACATGAATAAATCTCACAGGCTTATGTCTATTATGATGGTTATCACTGAACAGTGCAAAAAACTCATTGTGAGTAGGAAGTCCCTACTCACATTCCAACCGATATACAGCAAAGCAAAATGTTATTTGGGCTAGTCTTTTATTCTCTCTGGCCATCAAAATACACTGCAAAGCAAAGCGACTAAACAGCTGTGAATGCAGAGAGGCACAAACTGCAGATATAAGACTACATACTGTAGGAGTCCATTTTCATACGGTTCAAGAACAGGCAAAACTCATCTATTCTGACTCGTCAGAATAGCTGTTGCCTGCCAGCAAGAGGGAGGGCTGCCTGGGATGGGCACCAGGGAGCCTTCTAAGGCTAAGGAAACGTTCTGTGTCTCAGTCTGGGTACTAGTTACCACAGATCTGTGCACATGTAACAATTCATCTAGCTGTTCACTTAGTATACATTAGCTGCACACTTGTGTATATTACTATGTTACCCCTCAACAGGGGATGGGGGGGATAACACATGATGTCCAAGTGCCTTCTAAGTTTCAACTGCTAATTTAAGAAAACTGCAGTGTTCTAAGACTACAGTAGTTCCATGTGTCCACACAATTACTAACTTCTGAGAGTTCCTCATTATTTAGCACTTCAAAGAGATCACTTCTGGATCAAAGTAATACACTTACATGTACAGGAAGAGTTAATAAAAATAACAGCAGCTAACATTTGTGGAGGTTTTACTACATGCCAAGTGCTTGACTTTCATTATCTCATTTAATCCCACAACACTGGTAAGACATAATTGCCGTTATTATCCCCATTTTACAGATAAAGACCCCCAAGGCTTAGGTCAAGATCACTGCCCAGGCTCACATAAATAACAGAGGTGAGCTGGTCTAGAACAAGAATAGCTGAAAAGCAAGCTCCATGTCAGCTTCTGAATTCTGTTTGTATTACGGTAATATAAAAATAAAATCAGCCTCACGGTTCCTAGTAATAAAACATAAACAAAATATGTAACCTAAGTTCAGTAACATAGCCCATATATTTTTTTCTCAAGTAAGATTAAAGGCACATCAGTGGCTCTTAAGCATTGGATTCCCTACTCACATTCCAACAGATAAACAGCAGAACAAAATGTTCTTTGGGCTAGTTTTTTATTCTCTCTGGTCATCAAAATATACCGCACAGCAAAGCGACTAAACAGCTGTGAATGCAGAGAGGCACAAACTGCAGTGTTTACTCCTATTCATTCAAGAGTCCTTTCAATTTGGCCATACTATAAGGAAAAATGCCCAGGATTAAGGTGGAGAAAAGCTAAACATATCTTCAAAAAGGCTTCTTTATTTTCTAAACACACTGCATTGTGAGGAGAATTTGGTAGGCTACATGGAAGTAGGATGGAAGAGGCTGTGCACTATTTACAACATGATTTTACTTGGAAACAAAATATATCAAATGAACCATCAAATACGCTACTGCATTCTGCATTAGCTGAAAACTATGAGCGCTGGAATTCACATTCTTGGTAGATGAAAACCAATTAACTACACCATCCACCATTCAGAACTGCTCTTCCTTGAAAAGTACACAAGAAACAAACTGGACTAATATTCTAAAAAATAGTTTGTACCCAGACACTATTTAAGGCAGGGAAGAGGGACTTGGGAAGGAAGACATACTAATGTTTCTCAAAAATTTTGCTCCAAAGATTTTGCAGAATGTTTTTGCCAGATATATTTTCATTTACTTGGCGCTGCAAGTCTGCAAAGTAATGCCTCAAAAACACTAGAAATGATACAATTTTTTTAAAAGACAACAGAAAAGCTATAACCTAAATTTGAATTCTATAATAATAATGTAACAGAAAAAATAAAATTATATCAAAAGAGTAAACTAAATTATACCTACTCAAACAAGCATTTCATCACTGCAAAACAATTTGTTTCACATGAAATCTGATTTTGCTCTCAGTTTGAAAGTTATTAAAACGATACATCAGCCTTTACAGGCAAGACCAAACAGTAAGACAATTTTACATATTTATCAAAAGATCATTCAAAGAAAACTTACCAAGTCTGCAACGTGTATATGCTTGTGCTTCAGAGGGAAAGCAGAGAAGCCACTTTCTGTACTTACCCTGGAGTTCACTTCACTGCTAAAAACACATCACCGCAGTCCTGCTTGTAATAAAGTCCCGACTAGCAATCTGCCTTTGGGTTGGGCTTTTCTCTTACAAGATAAGCTGTTAAGTCATGCCTTGATTTCAGATCTGCCAACATATGGAGTCTTCTAATGTAGCCTTCTCTCCACCCCCTCAACCCCCACTCCTCGCATCCCCCCAATCCCCACTCTGCTCCACTCCCTCTGCACACACACACATACACACATACAAAAAAGGCACTGCAGGGCAGAAATTCCTCAGGTGCTCGCTAATGGAATTCCCAGGGTCTTGGAGCCGCTTCGGGGATCAAGAGATCTCATAGCCCCTGCTGGGGTAAGGAGCAGCGAGTCTGTTCCATTTAATCAAATACAGAATGAATTTTCAGCTCTATTCACTAGCTTGTCTCCAGGGCTCTCAAAAGGCACTAGGCAGCTAGAATCACACACATGTGGCTCTTTTAGGCAAGTATAATTAGCTTGATTTTAAAAAGGCACATTAATAATATCACCTCAGGACCATTATTCAGGGGACAGATGACAATGATACTGTATGTTTTAAGCCTGACAATGGGCAAAAGAGCACAAACAATGAGAGAAAACTTGAAGGATTAAAAAAAAAAAAACCAACAAACCCGTTTTTCATTTAATTGTAATCCAATATTTTTCAAGTGACATTAAGAATATTCCATACACCATCCCTTATTTTTAACAGAAAAGTAAAATCCTCCCCTCTGTGCCCTTGAAAGTGAATTAATGCCAAACACACAACAGAAACTTATCACAGGGAATGTTTACATACATATTCATTTTTTCTTAAATATAAAAATTTTTACATTTAAGTAAAAATAAAACATCCTTGAATTCAAGTTCACAAAATTTCTTGAAAAAAATTCCCCATCAAAAAAATACTATAAAAAAGCAAGTCCTTCAAAGCAACATATTTGGCAACCAGATTCCAAATTCTGTTTCTAATCTAATTAGTTGTATTAAGTTCATTTACTTAAAGGGGCACTGCCACAGAGGCAGCTCATCTACAGCTCCACTGTTTTGTCTCACTGATACTTCTACCTCACACCATAGCTGATCACAAGGCGCTGGCTCATGTCATTACTCGTTAAAGCAACATATTTTTCAATTAATTATTTGTTTTCTAACCCTTCCCTGATTTTACTAATATTTAATTCCTCAAATCATTTCCCTAGCACTTAACTTAGAAACAATCACCAATTTTTAGTCTAAATGTTCATGAAAAAAAAAAATTTCTAGAGAAGGAAAATGTGACTTCAACTTACATTTTGACAAAACCATACATGAAATTGTCTACAAAGTCATGAAGGCAGATGGGCAAAGCGGAAAAAGAAGAAGCAGCCACAAGAAACAGTGAACAAAATTTTACCTGCCCTCTTTAGAGCAAAGCCTTACGACAGAAGTTCCTATTCCTACCTACTACCTTCATCTGTATTTGCCTTGACAAGCTGGGGAAGAAAGTCCTATCTTACAGTGAACTTAATTCCTTTCCTGCAAAGTCAAACCACCTGCAAAGAAAGCAAGGCGTAAGACAGCTTTAGAAGCCAAGCTACACAAGCTAGATCAGTATGCTCCAAGTCCTAACGGTTCTTTGTACTTGAAGGCTTGAGAGTCAGAGCTGTTTAAGTACTTTGCACGGAAGAGGAGGTTGATGAGAACCATAGCAATCAATCAAAGCATCCCAAGTGAGTTATTACACAAACAACAGCACAGTACCTCTAGTAACTGATTTTCCTGGTTGACTAAACTATTCAAACAAAGACAGATTTCCCAAACACTGGGAAGTTTTTGCATGAAAGTTAAACAATATACATTTGTGTGTTTCTTAATAGAAATATAAATGTTTCTGTTCTACACACTGCCAAACACACATCCAGGGCACGTCTTTACAAAACGAAACAGGTTTTCTCCATCCTTCTCATGTAACTTCAAGTATGAGGCAGTTCATTTCAACATGTGCATAACAGAGACTGCAGTATTTGGTGCTTCTTGGGTTCTGAAGAATGCTTTCTACTTAGGCACTAATTTAAAATTTCCAGAATTTTTTTGAAGGTTTTCTTTCATCTTATCCTAAAAGTTGAATTATCCCCAAATTTTCAGCTAAAAATAGACTGAGCGTGGGGAAGAACTATAAAATGTCATAGAATGTTTAGAATTACGCTGACAATAAATTCATTTCATTTTCTAACACCCTCCCCACCTTCCTCTCCTTGGAGATACTGTCCACTAGGTATGCCAAGTGTCAGTTGGGAATGTGAGCGTTATGTTATCAGCGCTGAAAGGAATCACAATGCACTGACTTGGCCTCTTTCATTTTTACTGGCATAGGCCTGAAAATAAATCTCAAGTGAGCTTTTAGTCCAACCTCCTGTTTTTCAAGGTGTCTGGTTTGGGGACACAAAGGCTGACTTTCTGTTGATGAGGTTCCCTAAGTTCTAGATTCCCATTGGAAAGCAGTCTGCCCTTAAAGCACCTGCCACCCTCTGTCGTCCTGATGAGGAAGGGCAGGCATTCTGGAAACAGCTTCTTTTGGAGACCCTTCCACCTGATTTGGTGGGGTTAGGGAGAACAATAAAGGGAAGGGCAAGAGAGTCTATCCCCCTCAGTGATTTATTGCTGAAATTCCTAGATGCGGAGAGAAAGCAACAAAGGTCTGGAAGCTGCGAGCTGTAATGTATTTACCAAATGATAATGCAATCCACAGAAAGCTTTACAGGGGAGAAGGAAAAATACACTCCCTGGCGCTGGGAAGTCAGAGTCTTGTGAAGGCAGAGAAAGATACATTGTGCAGGAAATTTCTCTTGCTTCTCCCTACACATAAATCACTGTCTCTCGCGGGCGCTCTGCGGGGATGCAGGTTGAGAGAGGCCAGACACCCGGCTCCCTTGGGAAAACGCTCGGGCGCCCTAGCTCCCCGCGCTGCGACACCTCACCTGCCCCCGTGGACCATCGCCTAGAAGAGGTTTCGTCGTGTCACTGACACCTCACCCCGCGTCCTCCCGCGAGGTGGCTCCGAGCCCTCGAGGACCCGGGACGTCGGGGCTCCCAGCCGGGCTTGCATCAGCATCCAGACCTCGCACGCAGTCCTGGACCCCCACGCCCTCCGGGACACGCCTGCCCGCCCGCCCCGGGGACCTTCAGCCCCCAAACCAAGGCCCCCAAGCCCTGTGCCCGCGCGCCGCCCCCTCCCTCCGACCCTGCGGCGGGACCCCCATCCCCGCACCTCTCCGCGGGGCTGGCTAAGCCTCCAAAATCTCCTGCGCGGCAGCCGGCTCGGAAAGCCACCCCCAGGTCATCACCCCGCGCGCGCGCGGCAGCGGCTACGGTGGCGGCGGCTGCGATCCGAACGGGCCCCTCCATGCACCGCGCACAGCAGAAGAGGGCGCGGCGCCTCGCACGCCGGGGCGGGGGCGCTGGGCAGGGCGGGCGGGCGCGGGGTCCCGGGTCTCCTCGCACCTAGCCGCACGAGCCGGGCTCCCGGGCTCAGGGGAGGGAAGCGGGGGGGGCGGAGTCACCGGGGCGCGCCCCCGCGGCCGCGCTCCTCCCCGCCGAGGCGCGCGGGCGCGTAACTCGGCGGGCGCTGAGCCGGCCCGGAGCACGCGAGCAGCGGGAGGAGGGACCCGGGAGAGACAGACGGAGGCGGGCCCTAGAAGCCGCGGCGCCCCGCTGGCCCGCGCCCCGCCGGAGGGTGCGCGCGCAGCCTGCCAGATCAGCGGCGGGGGCACGGGCCGTACCAAGCACGGAGGGGGGCACGCTCTGTGCAGGACCCTCTCCCTGTCATTGATCTTCCCGCTCTGCAAGAGATATCCCAGGAGAGCATAGAAGAGGCTTTTCGTGGATGGAGGACCAGTGAGGATGAGTTGCCTCAACAAGTCACTGAGATTCCCATTATGCCTGAACTCACGCTCCCCTCATCTTTCCTTCGCCTGGAGAGGCGGCTCTTCTGGCAGGTCCCCAAGTGGTCGACTCCGTCTCCGGTGCCCCGCCCTAGTCCCGCTCCGGCCCCGCCCCTCGCCTCTCTACCTAAGTTCCCGGAGCCGCTAACGCGTGCACAGGTTTCTGCCGACTCTCTCTTAGGGTTGTAGCGGTCCACCGCCTATACCTCTTTCGCCTTTCCACCACTTTCCATGTTTAGTTCCTTAGGCAGCTTCATCTGATTCCCTCGTCCACCCGCCCTGCCTGCACATGCACGCAAGCAGGTAGCAAAACTCAGGGGCTCGGAGAGGCGTGGTGTGGCCTGGTGGCCTTTGGCCCTAGAGTCTTCCCAGCTCGTCCGTTGGACCTGCCCCAAGTTATTTGAACTCAGTGGACTTCAGTTATTCCAACAGAAAAAGGAAAAAAAATTCTAAAGATTGTTGTCAAGAATAAATATCCTTTATGAAAAGCACCTGCCAATGAGTGGGCGTTCAAGGACTGTAACTTCTTTATAAATCATTATTTTTATTATTAGCAGTTAGCTCTTTTTTTCCCGTCATCATTACTATTAGTTTACCTACAAAAGGAGCCCTAATGATAGTTGAAGTTTATAAGTAGTACTGAACTTCAGGAGAAATAGCTAGTGAATTTTAAAAAGAAATGCTTTGAAAGTGTGGTATTGTTCAAGTAAGTTAGCTTTCTGCATTAGCTAGATTCTGGGTTTTTGTAAAGTCCCTGGACAGAAAGTCAGTAGAAAAGAAAAAAAAAATTTTTTTTATGAGATGAAATCTTGCTCTGTTGCCCAGGCTGGAGTGCGGTGGCACTATCTCGGCTCACTGTAACCTCCGCCTCCTGAGATCGAGCGATTCTCCTGCCTCAGCCTCCCAACTAGCTGGGATTATGGGCACACGTCACCACACCTGGGTAATTTTTGTATTTTTAGTAGAGACGGGGTTTCCCCATGTTGGCCAGGCTGGTCTTGAACTCCTGACTTCAGGTGATCCACCCGCCTTGGCCTCCCAAAGTGCTGGGATTATAGGCATGAGCTACTGCACCTGGCCAGGAAAAAAAAACCAAAAAACCTCTTAACTCTAGTTTGTCCTCCACTGTTCCATTGTTCATTTATTGAGACCAAGAATCTATATGTTATTAACATGGTATAGTAAACGATTTTTCATTCTGCAAGTAAGACTTTTTATAAACATAGAGAT